AGGCGGGTGGCTCAATCTTGTGTGCTTCTTGCTAGGCGCCATGTGCACGTGCGTTCCGTGGTGCACCTCTTGCTAGGCCCATCATCGAGAACTTCACGGAGAAAAGGATGGCACTGAACAGCGCCATGTTCGAGGCATCGCATTGCCAAAATGTATCCTCAGTCTCGGGCTTCTGTAATGGGCTCTTTTGTAGCTGCCATCACCATGGCCACTGCTGGATGGTGCACGGATTGAGGCCTTGCTGTTCATCTACACATTTGGCCTGGCGACTTACCTGTCCCACTTCCGGCGCACGCCCTGGCTGCTCCGGTCCCTCCGCAACCTCATGGCCAACTTCTCCGTGACCATCGCACTGGTGACGGCCTCCTTGCTGGCAGCCATCTATTCCAGCGACACAAGCTTGAGGATGCTGAGCGTGGATGCGGACTTCTCCCCAAATCTGGTCTTGTCGGATGGTAGCAAGCGACCCTGGATCGTGAACCCCACAGGCATCGACAAACCATTCCCTGCCTGGGGCATTGCTTTTGCGGTGCTCCCAGCAATCGGTCCATTGGCAGAACTGTATCAAGTTTGGTAAGTTCATGTTATTGCGTGTTCATCCCAGGCCCACTGAAGTCAGTGATTTTTATACGCACTGAAAACGGAGGGCTCAAGCTTGAGAAGCCCGTGAGCCCAGCCCAGGTTTCGCCGTGCTGGGCTACCTGGACCAGAACCTCACCTCCGTGATCGTGAATCGTCCGTCGAACAATCTTGCAAAGCCGCCCGGATACCATCTGGATTTGTTGGTGAGAGGGGCACTGACGCTGCCAGCCTGCGCTGTGCTGGGCCTGCCGCTATCCGTGGCCTCGACGGTGCCCAGCATCACGCACGTCATTTCCTTGACCACCTACGAGGTGAAGCAGCTGCCTGAGGGAGAGCGCAAGGTCCCGACCAAGGTGGTGGAACAGCGGGCCACGAACTTCCTTATTCATGTACTAATTGGATGCTCGCTGTTCCTTGCCCCAGTCCTGAAATTCTTGCCACGGGCCGTGCTGCAGGGTGTGTTCTTCTATATGGGTATTGCCTCCTTAACTGGCAACAATCTCTTCGACCGCTTGTTCCTGTGGCTGATCTGGGACCCTGCCAAGTATCCGCAGTACCACTACATCCAGAAGCTGCCCATCAGCCGCGTCCACCTCTACACCTTTGTGCAGGTGATTTACTGCATGGTCTTGTGTTTTAGGCCCCGTCCCCATGCGGCGAGCGTTTGCTTCAGATTAGTTTGTTTGCAGGTGATCTGCTTGGCAATTTTGTACGGTCTCAAGGCCATCAAGGAAACTTCGGTGGTATTCCCTTTCTTCATGGCCTCCCTGGCAATCATCCGCAAGGCCAGCTTCGAAAAGCCCTGACCTCTCTCGGACCTCGCACCTTTCCAAACGCCTCCCCTGAAGGGCATGCGCTGGATCTTCACCGAGGAGGAGCTGAAGCTGCTGGACAGCTTGCCCGACGAGGATGAGGGTGCTGAGGCGAGCCAGGACAAATATTTTTTTTTGTCAGGTCCCTTCTCGGACATGCAGTCTGCAATCCCACGAACTGCAGTAAATGCACGCGCTCCAAGGCTTCAAAGCCCGCGCCGGACCTCGTAAACCTCGGAGAGGGGGTGTGGGCCCCGGAAGGGGGCTTTTCTGGAAAAAGGGCCATGTGCAAAGCACTGCTGCATGTCGTGGAGCCCGCAAGAGGGAACTATGACCGTATTCCCGTGACATGTTCCTGTGGTCTTTTCTGCAGAAAAACCTGCTCCCCGCATCCTTATGAAGCAAAGTTTGGCAGGGCTTGAGATGTAATCACGCGAGTATCAAGAAGCCCTCCACTTGTTAGTGCGTGCTCAGGAGAAGAAGGAGGGTGCGACCAAGAAGGACGTGGCACGAACTCGAAAGTAGCCATGATGTGCCATGTATGGTAGTTGCTTTGGAAGGTAGTGACGCAGCATAGCCCAGCATAGCCCACTGTCTGATGGCGCAGGACGACGCCGAAGTTGAGATCTGAATGCATCAGAATGGAGTGAACCCGGCCTGAATACATCGAGCCCGCTCCAGCGGAGCACTGTTTGAAGCCTAGCCAACTGTTCCGGCTGGCACCCGAGTGATTTTTGATGATTTTTGATTTGTTTTGCTTTGGACATCTCTGGACAAAACTTGTCCAAAGTTTGTCTTGTAGGCCACAAGGTCTGGTAATGTGGCCGCAATGCTGAGCATGCTGAGCATAGGAATGCATAGCATTAGAAGACCCTTGACGTGCTCATGCGAAGCACGCAATGAACTGGGAGGACAGCACGGGCATAAAATGATATTGGACA